CCATTACTCCAAAATCTCAAACAACCATGACATTTTATTTTGGATAAAACAACTTAGCAGCTTTCTTTAAAAAATAATATCATGCTCCCCATCAAGTTCCCAAAGCCCACCCCCTATTTTTGTTTCCCCAATACTCTCACATGTATAACCTTCCCTGAAGCTTGGTGGACCTACCAGGAGCCACGTCTTTAAAGAAAATTAACCCTTCTCAGTCAGCAGATCATATGACATCAGCTACTTAGCTGTAGAAGGGACTTTATTTACATCTCTTCCCTCCATGGTGGGAATTTGTCTGGGCTGAACTTGAGTAGGCCTGGAGAATGCTGTCACAATTGCAAGCTCATATGAGCCACACTCTGCTGACTTGAAAATAGCTAAAAAATGATAATGAAGGTTGTTCTGTAGGGAAGTGGGGTTTATCTGGGAGGAGCTTGGGGGGAAACATGATTATATAGTATTAAACTCTCAGAGAATTAGTACAAAGAAAAAAAGTATGCTTAAGTGCTAGTATAAAAAAGAATAACTTTTATGGTTAGAAAAATTAATGTCCCTACAGCCTGTTACATTACTCTCTGCCACACCTTTCTTTACATGTATTCTTCTAATTTACCAAACTCTTCAAACCTTCCACAACCAGGAAATGCTAATTTATCAAATAGTCTACATTTACTTTGTTTTTATTTATTTATTTTTAATATTTTATTGAGTTCTTGTGTATTTCATAAAACAGATCTTAAACAAATTTAGACCCCCTACTCCATCTGCAACCCCCGTAACACACCCACCAGATTTCATGAATTCTGTCGTATATGTTAAGTCTTATTCAGTTAAGTGTTTGTACCCAGATGACCCTGGATGCAAGTGCATTCACTGGAGTCTAGTCAGCCTATCTAGAGTCATGCCCTCAAATAAAATCTACTCTCCGTTTGCTTTTTAAGGAAGAAGTTATCAGTGAAGCACTGAGATTATAACCAATCACTCAGTAAATTTACCAAATGAGCTCACTCCAGTGCAAATCTCTTCCTGACCCATTATTGCTTCATTTATTGACTGGTCTGTTCTTTCACCAGCATCACAGCACCTTGACTGCTACAGGCTTGTGCTTTAATTTTAAAATATTTTATGTAAAAACTATTAGCATTTACTTATTTCACAAAATGGAGGTTTTCATAATGATATTCTCATTTAAATACATCATGTTAGTTGACAATATTCAGCCCCCTCCTTTACTCTGTCAGATTCATCCTCGCCCTTAGTCACCTTCCCCTTCCCCTGTCCATCTCATATGTACTTGTATTTTTATATATCTCATAAATATTTCAAATGAACATCATTGTTTCTAGGTTTCACATATGAGAGGAAACCTGATATTGGTCTTTTTGTCTGGCATATTTCATTTAATATAATGATCTCCAGTTCCATCCATTGTCCTGCAAATGACAAGATTTCTTTACTTACAGTTGCATAAAACTCCATTGCATATATACATAAATATATCATATTTTCTTTATTCATCTATCAATAGACAACTAAGTTCTTATTTTTCTCAGTGTGAACAGTGTTACAATAGATGTACACAAGCAAGACAGCGCCTCTAGTCATACTCATTTAAATTCTTTCAGGTATATTCCTCGAAGTTGTATGGTTTAATCACATGGTAGTTTTAGATATCGCTTTTTAAGTCTCAACATTGATTTCTATAACAGCTACACTGGTTTCCCAGCCCATCATCAAGGTACATGTGTTTCTTTTCTCCCAGAATGTCCCCATCATTTCTTGTTTGTTTTATAAATAAAAATCTTTCTGATTTGCATGAGATAGACTATTAATATTGTTTATATTTTTGTTTCTATAATAAATTATGATGTTTAATTTTCTGATGTATTTATTAGCCATTTAAATTCCATCTTTTGAGGGCAGTCTTATTTCACTTTCCCTCATGATTGGATTATTTGATTTATTGTGTTTTGTTTTTTGAATTATTTGAAGGTCTAGATTTTCATTACATGCCTAACGTAATATAAACTCATTTCATGGTGATAGCTATTATTTCTTCAGCCTTTAGAGACGTTTTCAGAAAGTTAAATCCACATGCCTACATTTTGAAGTTCTGCTAACAATTTCAAAGTTTCAGGTCTCATATTAAGGCCTTTGATGCATTTTGAATTTGTTTTCATACATCCTAAGAGATAGGGATCTAATTTCATTTTTCTATGTGAGGATACCCAGCCCCACCACTATTCATTGAAAAGGCAGTCTTTTGTTAGTGTATGTTTCTTTGGTGCCTTCTTTGAAAATCATGTGTCTCTATGTCTGTGTCCTCTATTCTCCTCTGTCGATCTACTCATCTGTTTTTCTACCAATGTCATACTAGGTTTGTTAGGATGATTTGTATAGTTAGAGATCAGGTGCTGAGACACCTACAACCTTGTTCTTTTTGCCAGTGTTGCTTTTATACTTGCAGCAATCTGTGTTTCTCTGTCAATGTTAGTATTTTTCTAGTTCAGTAAAGGATGTCACTGGAATTTTGATGAAGACTACATTTAATCTGTGGATAGCTTTTAGTAATATAGCGACTTCCATAATGGTTATTGCATTTATCCGTGAATACTGGAGGTCTTTCTTTCTCCTCATGTCTTCAACTTCTTTCTTTGGTCTTTGAAACCTTTAATTATATATATTTTCACCTTTTATAACTTCCTTGAATATTTACTAAAGAATTTAAGAATCAGAATTAAGTACTTTTACAGATCAAATTCTTGAGACTTGACTTTTTAACTATAAAATATGCTTATTGTAAATACTTTAAACCCGGAACTAATCAGCATGACCCAAAACCTAAACCTCCTCTTAATTTTTAAGTGCAAAAGAAGGAAAAGAGATGAGAAGGAGGAGGGCTCCTGTCACCAGCACCAAACCATCCTTTCAAGAGTATTTCCTGATCACAAGTCAGCAGGTACAGAGACAGATTCAGAGGTGCAAGAGTGAGTAATGAGCAATGCCAGAGTTGGCACCTAAGCCAGGCTCACTCTCAGCCCCATTCAGTCTCTACTTAAAGGACCTATCTTTGTTGATTCCTTCCTTGACTACACTGCACAAATCCCTCGTTCTTCTTCATCATCATGCTGCTCTTTGCTTCTCCATTATCCTGATTTGTTTCTTAATGGCACTTGGTGAGCTTGAACACATGCTAGTGCAGCTGTCCTGTGCACGTTGTTTACTCTTCATAACCAAGATGTAGTTGATAAAACATGAAAGATTAGGAAAGAACTCCAAAGTACAGTAACAGTCATGGCTCTCTTCAGCATCTGGCAAGAAAGGAGACATCCACAAATTTATTCTGCTTCACAATCCTTTCTAAGATTATGACTGTATGGTCATAGGGCAAAGTTTCAAAACAATTATATAGTTAACATTAATATTTTCATTAAGAGAAGAATAAATCAATTCCTAGAAATGGAAGGACACCCTTCTGGCTGTAGCAACATGACCTTCTTCAAGGCAACAATCTTTCCTTACCATAACCTGTGTCAGAAGAATTAAAGCACAACACTCTTGGGCTAGAGAGATGGCTCGGCAGGTAAGAGCACTGAGTGTTCTTGCAGAGGAACCATTCGATTCCCAGCACCCACATGACCGCTAACAACCATCTGTAACTCCAGTTCCAGGGGAGCTGACGCCCTCTTCTGAGCTCCACTAGCATTGCACGACACAGGTGCACCTACCTAAATGCAGGTAATACACTCACACACATAACAATAATAAATGAAAACATTTAAAAAAACCCAGCACTCTTCATGAAATGTCTAGGAGTTTAATAAGATAATTTTGGCTTATGATTGCCACAGGGTGGATAACATAATTTTTTTAAATCTCAGGTTATCCACAAAATAAAAATATACTTTAAAAATAAATCTGAGATTATTCATAGTTAAATCCGTAATCACTACGACTCTTGTGTCTCACCACCAAAAGCCACGATTACACAGGGATGACTGTGTCCAGGGGGAAAGACAATGTCTTAGAGAGATGAAATTCTTGGGCCCAGTAAATGGACCCACACTAGAAAACATTTGGAGACACAAATCAGACTCTATAGGCCTTATTATATATGAAAGAGAGTGCACTAAATTGGGATAGGGGAAGTGGGGGAGATACAGACAGGAGAGGAGATTTAAATACCACCAAACTATATTGTATGCCAATTGCAAAAATTTAACGAAAGTAAAATTTTTAAAAGTGAATACAGTAAGCACAATTTACAAAGCCACATTAACACAGGGACATGGATTATTTTATTACAAACCAAAAATTTCCTCCCTAGGAATGTTGTGAACATAGTTATCTGCTTTATTCAGGCAGAACAAGTGGACAGTGAGTGTTGGTCCACCCACCTATGTATATCATCATTTATGTCACAAGTGTGGCACTCTGGATTCAAAGTAACAAATATGATACAATATCCATCTTCCTTTTATTTTCACACACACAAAAATAATAAATATTTAAAATATTTTTTGAGCTTTTGAATATGCATACAACAGTTCTTAATCAAATTAGACCTCCTTCCCCATTCATGCCCCCCCATACACCCCACAGAGCCTCATGCATTCCACTACACATGTTAAGTCCTATCCAGTCAAGCATTTGTGCTCAGACATCCTTCAATGCAAGTTCATCCACTGGAGTCTCGTCAGTATAGCTAGAGATCTTAAGGAAGGGCTACTCTCCCATCACAGCAGTAATCAGTCTCCAGCAGCTCCCAGGTTAGGGCTGGCTTGCTGCTCATTTCCCTCCCTACACTTTGGTCCTCATCTCACTGAGTTTGCGTGGGTTTTGTGCTTGAGGTAATCATTACCACAGGTTTACATGAACAAGCTTCCTGTGGCCCAAAAACCCCTGTTTGCCTATGTTTATGGACCAACCATGGCTATTACAATCTTTCCTCATGCACAGCATTCTGTTGCATAAGGAAGCCATCACTGATTTTTTTTACATACATCTCTTCCTTACACAGGTCCTACATCAAAGATATAAAATTTAAGGGTAGTAAAAGGCTGCAAAGCATTAATTATGCCTTATTTACACCACATTCACCAGTTTCCAAAAGTGAAATGACAAAAGAAAAGCAACAGAAGCATCTTCTTAGTTGGATTTATTCCTAGGCATTTATGAGACTCCTGGTTTCTTTCTTAGCATGTTAATTATTATCACGTAGAGAAGTTACTGATTTTTATATATTGGTTTTCTGCCCTACTAATTTGTTGAAGTTTTTGTCATATCTATGGCTTTTCTGGTGTATTTCTGGTCTTTTAAGCATGGGATCATGTCATGTCCAATTAAAGATAATTTGACTTCTCACTTTTTAATTTTTTCTCATTCTTTTATCTTTTTCTCTATCAAAAACTTAAAGCACTATATTAAGTAATAAGGGAGAGAATGGACATATTTTTCTCATATCTGATTTTAGAGAAAATGGCATCTATGCTCTCCATTTAATATAATGTCGACAGGTTGTTGTATTTATCCTTTATCATGTGGAGGGATGCTCCTTGACTTCATAGTTTCTTCAAAGATTTTATTCTGAAAATATGGCTTATTTTTCCATAGATTTATCTGTATCTATCATTAGAATAATTTTTCCCTTAATATATGTATGTGCTTTACTATACTTGTTTATTTTTGTAGGCTGAATTCTTTTTGCATCCAGGAATGAAACAGTATTGAACATGCTTAAGATTCCTATTAATATTCTGTTAATTCAATTTGCATATATTTAATAAAAGATTTTTGTATCTAAGTGCATAAGGTTAATTGGTCCACAGGCTGCCTGCTTGTGTGAACATTAGCTCTTTCTATTCATAGAAATATTTAGATAACATTTTCATTGGTTCTTATTAGGTCTGCTTACATTTGGTAGCGATATTTGAGCGATATCCTGTAACTGTTTCAATTCCATTGCAATTTGTAGATGTGTTTAAGTTGTTCTAATTATCTTGATTGAATTTTGATAAGACATATGTATCTTACTATATTCACTTTTAGATTTTCTAACTTTTGAATGTATTTGCACGGTCTTATAAATTTTATTGGTATCTAATATAATTATCTCCTTTTCACCTGTACTATTATTTTTTGTATTACACTTTGTTTTGTAAATTTTGGTCAAGTGTTAATTTATTTTTAATTTTACAAGGAACTAGCTCTTTGTTCCATGGATTCTTTGTATTGCTCTCTTAGTCTCTATTTCAGTAATTTCTACCCTGAACCATACCAATTTTCCTCCACCTACTTTATAGGTTTGATATTGTTTTTGATTTTCTAAAGCCTTGAAGTGCTTCATTTAGTTATTTATTAGAGCTCTCTCTGACAATTAAGATGTAAGCAATAGGATTGCATTTCCTGTACTCTATGGGTTCTCACAAGTTGCGATTCTATTTTCAGCTGAATCTAGCAATTTTTAAATTTCCTTCCTGATTTCTTTTATAATGTATTGTTCATTCAAGAGTGTACTCTTCAATCTTTGTTTATTTGTGTAATCACTATGATTTCCTCTGCTTTCCTGTTTTTTCCCCACTATTATCTGACATTACAAGGGATATATTTTACTTTCTTTTGTAAGGCTTACTGGGGGCTTACAATATTATCCATTTTAGAGGAAGTCCTACAGAGTAGAGAGAAGAAATTGTATCTCAGAGATGCTGTACAGAATACTCTGTAGGTGGCTGCTAAGTTCATTGGATTGGTGCTACAGTTTAACTCTGAGGATCCTTTATTGATTTTCTTGCTCAATGAATGATCTTTTGACAGTATTGAAATATTCATTTCACCCATTATTACTATATCTAGATCTGCCTATATATCTACACCCAGTCATGTTCCTTATATAATATTAGGTGACCCAATGTTCTGTACATATGTACATTTACAGTTAAGTGTTGCTGATGCATTGCTCCCTCTAGCAATATATAGTAACCCCTACATCCTCTTCATGTCTTCTGCTTCTTTTGTTTAGAAGTCTACAATATAACACATACTTACAAAAATTCTACTTGTATTTGCTTAATTTATTTGTTCTATTGAACCTTACCCATTTATTTTCAGCCTGAGTCTTGTGTCTTTGCCAGTAAGATGTATTTCTTCTTTTAATATTTTATTTATTATATTTTATGTTTATGAATGCATTGCCTACATATGTTTAAGAGAGCTTGTGTCATGAAATGCCCACAGAAGTAAGAAGAGGGCATCAGATCCCTGGAACTGGAGTTACTGACAGTTGTTAGCCACCATGTGGGTGCTGGGAATCTAACCCGGGTCCTCTGCAAGAGCAGCCAGTGCTCTTAACCACTGAGTCATCGCTCCAGCTCCAAGGTGTGCTTCACACAGACAACAAAGAGTTATATCATGTTTTTGTTTTGTTTTGTTTTAGAAGAAGCATTTCATTACAGCTTTAACATACTGGATAACAGTTTCCAGAGCAAAGATACATTTCTTTCAAGAGTGCCTATAAAATTTTTAGGTTCGCTGTTGAATTAATACAGTTATACAATATTGAACTCAGTATAAGCCCCAATGGTAATGTTTATTGAAATCTACCTGATGACTTTATAGACATACGCAGGTGCCAAGGACCCAAATGCAACTGATTATGACTAGCAATAATCAGATACATACAGATTAGAGGTGCATGTGCCAACATCTCAGTGTTATTAGAGAAAACAGTGAGTCTTTCTGTAAGAAACAGTATATATCACGTTTTTTAATCAATCATCTACTCTGTATTTTTTAACTTGAGTATTAAGATAGTAACATTTAGATTTACTACTGAGAGGTGTTTGCTGGTTCTTATAATTTTGTGGGTTATTTCCTGTTTTGTTTGTTCTTTCATTTATCCTCTAGTCAAAGTACTTGTTTCCTAGTTTACTGAGTTGGGCATACGATTCTTTCCTAGTTTGCCTCTGCTCATATAATTCTTTCAAAGGATTTTCCTTTCATATGATTTATTGTTTCTCTGTTCTTGTGATTGACACCGCATTGTCTCCTGTGTATGAACAATTCCTCAAAGTTTTGTTTGCATTGCTCACTTAATGTTCATTAGTTGCTTTAGTTTGCATTTGTCTATAAATACATTTATGTCTCTATCTACCATACAGATATCTTCATGGAGAGAGTGGTCTGGCTGGAAGATGCTATTAGGGCTTGAAATAGCTTTCCATGATATCCTAACTTTCAGGGTTTCTGCCAAGAGGTGTATATCATTTTAATGGATTTCCTTTCTAAATGGGTTGGTGCTTTGCTCTGATCCCTTTTGTTTTTGTATTCTCATTTTGCATCTTGGCATATTGACTATAATGTACCAGAGAGAGGTTTTTCTCTGGTCAAGTTAAATTTGGGATCAAAAATACCTCTTATAATTATCTATTTTTTCCTATTTAATTTGAGAAATTTTCTGCTATGTAATTCAGTAGAATTTTTAGCTACAACCTTTTATTTGTGTGTGTGTGTGTGTGTGTGTGTGTGTGTGTGTGTGTGTACATGAGTGAAGGTGACTGTGGAGTTCAGTGAGCATTGGGTGATCCACCTGATGTGGTACTCAAGCTACTCTCAGGTCCTCTGCAATAGCAGTACCCCCTTAACCGTTGAGCCACCTCTCCAGTCTCTTTGATAAATTTTCATCTAAGCTCATTCTTATACCTCATAGATTCTCAGGTTTGGTCAACTGACAATATTCACAGTTCTTGGAAGTTGTGGAATTGCTTATTTTATTTTTGCATATGACTGACTGTAATATTTCCTTGGTCTTGCCTTCTATCACTTGTATTTTTTTTTCTTCTGTTTGATCTAGATTATTTTGGTTTGTGTTCTTCAAAATCTCAGTTTACTTTCTGAATTTCTAACCTACATTGCTGACTTTCTGTTCCAGGTCCAGAATTGATCTCTTTACTTCATTTATCTGCTTCCTTGTTTCGTCTTTGAGATGGTAGTATGTTGCTTTTTAGTTGTCTGGCATTCATCCATTTCAGTATCTGTGGATTCAGCAATTGAAGACAGTACTGCTTTGCCCTGCATTTTCAAGCTTCTTACGTTTCTGTTTCAATTTGAGTATCTTTTGGTTTGGATATCTCTTACTGGTTTATTTGTGATCTAATTAGTGAACAGCTGGGGCTACAGGGAGACCCTGTCTCAAAGACAAAAAAAATATTCTAAACATTAAACTGTTAAATATAAGGTTTTTATTTAGACTAGAGAACATAATAAATAACAAACATTATTTGTGATGTCATTAATACTTTTTCTTCTGTTGCTTGGGCCTCTGCATGTGTGTTTAAAATTATTCAATACATCAAAAACAGTACTTGAAAACATCTACCATGCCTCGACTTCTGCAATTCATTAAAACTGATAAAGGCCCCACATACAGTAATAAAGCTTCTCTGGTGGGATTTATATAAATAATCTCATATGTGTATAATACCATATCATCTGCAAATAAGGATAATTTGATTTATTTTTTTCCAATTGGTATTCCTTTAATTCCCTTCTCCTGTCCTATTGTTCTAGCTACAGTTTCAAGTACAATATTGAAAAGGAGTGGGGATAACATACACCCTTGTCTGCGACCTGATTTTACTCCGATATTCTCCATTTAGAATGATGTTGGCTGTAGGTCCTTTTTTTGTATTTGAATTCCTCATAACTTTAACAAACTTATTCATAACATAGCATCATATAACTTCATAACTTAAGAATGCACAGAAAATAACACATAAGGAAAAAGATACTGAGTAGGATTCAAGGCCACCTATCAGAATTATTCTAATATTGTTAATAAAATAAGAGACCAGAGTAATTGTATTCGAAGTTTTTGAATTACCAATTGAATATAAGACAGTAAATAAAAAGAGAAAGGCCAGTTCCCGTTTTCAAAAAAATTAAGCTTGACCTCCCTCTGCTTCCCTGGGACTGTGAGACCCGGAGCAGGCCTCTCTCCTACCCTTAGGCCTCTTCCAGGGTAAGTCCATTGCATCCTCCACACCTTGACCCCCCCAGCCTCATTCATCCTCCTATCTCCGCTGCCCTCCTCTCCTCTGAGTTTGGGCCATATCCCATTCCTTGTCTTGGGGCCCCAAA